GTGAGAGAGAGAGAGAGAGAGAAAAAGAGCGAGCGAGTGAAGAAGTGAAAGGGGATGCGAAAGAAAAAAAAGTAAAAATCAAGAGAAAGTGTATGTGTGTGTGTGTGTGTGTGTGTGTGTGTGTGTGTATGTGCGCGTGTGTGTATGCGAATGTGTCGTACGTCACGTTAGTATATTAAAAACGAGCGACGTATTGTAAAGGAGAAACAGGCGAAGGGAAGATAAATTTGCGAAGCATGCGAGCGAGCGAAAGGACGGAAGAGAGACGATGGAGGGAAGACTCAGAGAGATGAGTGAACGGCCGCAAAACGTACATTCATTAGCTAAGCAATGTCGTTTAGCACAAATTCGCAGTCGAAGACATTTGGAGCGATGAGATTATAGTCAGATTATAGAGGGAGAAGCAAGGATGAGTGTGTGAACAGAGCGTGTGAGAACGAAATTAATCATGAATGGAGAACGATCGTCGAGGCAAACGCGAAGAGACGCTCTCTTGTGTACATAAGAGTGATAAGAGAACGCGATGTAAATCACGTTTTGCGGAGGAAACATCTTAGATCCTGCTATTCATATGCTGTAAGAAACTTGTATAACAGGTATCCCTCGGGGGGGGGGGAGATGATGCGCTGCAAAGGGATGTTTCTCGAAGGTGATCGCGAAATCGAAAGGCTTTTGCGTAAAAGGAACCGTGGCACTGCTTCGATTAATTGACGACCAATTATTTTATGTTGGAGATCACTTCAAGGAAGAGATCAAAGACTCCTCAAAGACTTTATTATTTATCGTTATTTATAGGAACAGCGATGCGCTGCAAATTATTTTTTTATCACGCGAAACGGCATCGTACTTCCCTCCGGAAAGAATCAAGTTTATTTTTTTATGTTTGACACGGGGGTGCATGGGACCTTTTGGATAAAATCCGTTCGACTGATGTTTGTGTGTATATTGTAGACAAGAAACTGATGCACAAATTGCAATCGCGTGGAAAGGTTTTTCATATAAGCAGCGACGAAGCAATTTGCCATATTTCGCTCGTAAAAAAAAAATATTGTAAATAAGACTTTATTTCGCTAAACGATCTCGCAATATTTCTCATCATATTGCATTTACAGATTCTTGATGATGGATCTTTAATTTATGTGGAATTACAAACCGAACGCATTTTGTGTTTTGAGTGATAAAGGAAATCCAGTTTATTTAAGTAATTGAATTCAATGCTAAATGTGTAATGAAAATATAATTTGCTGAAATCTAACTCTTTTATCAAAATCTATTTACAGTATTCTAAAATTTAAAACAATTTGCAATCTTCTTATTATTTTTTATGTAATATCAAAATATGTAATATCAGAATAACTTGTGGAATATTTTTCCAAGAAAAAAGTTGATAAAAGATTGTAGTTTTTATAATTCTTTTTCTAACGTAAAACTATAGACATATATCTTGTGTTACATAATAGTGAGAGAAATGTTTTTTCATTGTTTTTGATAAGAAGGTTGATGAAATTGGCTACAAAAATTAGAATTTAAACATTTGCATTTTTTGTCCTTAATAATTGGCAAAATTGTAAGATATACCCGATGCGGGAAAAATCGTTTTGCGAGAACAAAGTTCGGATTTCAGAAACGTATCACCGATCCCACTGATGAAAATTGTAAAATCGCACACAACAGTAGTTCGCCTCATCCTATGGATCTTGTTTTTGTGAAGATTGTGAGATGAGAGGGAGAGAGAGAGAAAGGGAGTGAGAGAAAGAGAAAGAAAGAAAGAGAGAGAAAGATGAAAATACTCCTTGGATATGACTGTACAGCATATTAACTTGTCCGGAAGTACATATATCGGGGATCCTTTTTCAAAACTGAAGTATTAAGGATTGCATATTGTACATAAACAAGACATATTTTCTATATAAGGGACGTCGCTCGGTAAAAAGGCCGATGGCTCGAGAAATACTGCAATATTATGATAATTCTTTCAAGCGGTAGGATAGCCTTTAATCGTTTTATGTAATGTAATGATAGAAAAAGAGGGTCTGGCAGAATAAAAGTGAAAGTTCTGTATTTAAATATCTGTCGGTGTACATTCATTCACACACACACACACACACACACACACACACACACAACATCCCAAACTGTAGAAGCGATTCGGAGCACTTAATTGCATGTACGTATGAAATTACGCAAATCGATGAAATTAACGGTTTTAATTCCATTGATAAATCACGGTCTATGCTGCATGCAAGTAATTTAGAACTTTTTGTATATCACTTCAGAGTGAAGAACGAAGAAATTGGAATTTGATAACTTAAAAAGAGTGAAGCAATTTGAATAAGTTCGATTATTCTCCTTTTAACACTGATGTAATTGAATGATCTCAAAAACGTAGAATTTAAACGGGTTAAAATGTAACATATGAGATTCAAAGTAAAATCCGTTCATTGTGTTATAATCGCGCATATATTTATTAGCGCATATATTTATTATTAGATATTAGTCTCCTTTGTGAGGGATAAGAGTGTAATAATAATTGACAATTCCTTCTTTTAAGTTTTGTATCCCTTGTACATGTGAGTAAAAAAGTTACAGCTGATGTTTATATATAAGGAAAATGTTTATTATCGTTGTACATATATCAAGTACTTTCTGAATTTTCTGAATTTTCTTTTTCATGCTCTTTCCGTTGACTTTCCACCTCCTACAACAAGCTGAAACTTTGATCATTGAATCCAAAGGCGATACTAAAGCTAATTAATCAATTTTACAGACGTATTTTTTTAATAACTGGAAGACGTACCCTCTGAATAAGATCCAATAAAGCGACATTATCTCTCGATTGGAAAAACTCACTGATTTCTTGAGGAATGCAAAATTGCATTGGAGGCTTTGGTTGGATACCTATTTCCTCTCCAATAAAGCGAAATTCCGGTGCATCTTTGGTATGATTTTGTAATTCCTCATATGTAAAGAGAGTTCCTTTTGTAGATGATGCATCCATTGGACCGAAATCTATTATTTTTACTTTATCTTTCTTATGCCGTACAACATCAAAGGAATCTGAAAAAGAGATAAGCTTCATATAAATTCGTCATTAATTTTAGTTTGAGCGACGCTCGCCATATATAACTTACAGTTACACAAGGGAAATCTGCCTTTGATGCATTCCAAAAATAAGCTCTTGATGTCTGTCTGTATATCATATTTTTCTGACTCGTTTGAACTATGGTACTGCGATATATCCCTCTGACTTATAGCTATACAAGACATAATCTATTAATTTTGTAAAAGCAGGCAGAAATAATCACGGAAGCAACTTTATGTTGAATAATAATATTTAATATTTGGGGTGAAAAGACTATGTTAATGAATTACCAATGAGCTCGTTGTTGACAACAAAACAACGAAATTCTGTGCAAGGATTAATATCCCGCCACTGTTTCAGCACTAAACAGAACGGCAAAGGGTTTTCAGATTCTCTCAAAGATTTGACAATGTTCAGATCTTTAGCAATTCTATCCGAACTTTTCAATAACAAGTAAATTTCTTCTAATGTGTTACATTTCAAAGTTTTTGTTGGAGCAACCCACATTGCATCCTGCACAAAATAATTATTATAAAATTAATTTCATATTAATATAAATTATCATTGCAATTATATGAAAATAATTATCACAAAGTTACATTATTACATTATATTTCTATACATATAATAATAAATATAATAATAAATTCATAAATAAGTATTTTATTTATTTATTGAATGAATCATTCATTTTAGAAAAGGAATTTTTAGTTTTCATATTTTTTTATAGACATGCGTTTTTGCATTTTCTGAAAGATAAGAATCTTGAGAAGGATTTTTCTTTTAAAATGACTGATTTGAGATAAGAATGTATAATAGAAAATTATTTACCGCAGGTGTACTCCAATTTGTTTTGATAAATACCGCATCATACTCATCTAATACCTCCTGTATTTGTTGACTGAACTCGGGAAATGTCGGTTGATAATCTGTTTCCTGCGACATTAAACAAATTCATATATTTTAACTCCAATTATAACTCCATCATATTTAATTTCCCAAATAGAAAACAACAATGAATACCTCTTCTTCGCACGTCACCGGAGAACCATCTGCCCATTCTGAATCCTGTGGCAAAGATCTCGCCGCCTCGAGAGGCAACACAAACGTGTCGTGCTCTAAATATTTTAAAACTTCATCAGGAATGTAAAGGATTCTAGCCTCCAAAGAATTTTTCTTGAATATGGGATACCAAGAGGAAAAGGAACATTCGAGTCTCAAATCATTTATCATTTTCTCGAAATTTTTACTACTTGCACGTGCTTTTTGTTTGAAATCGCGTTTATCGTATGAGGTTATCGTAATTATGAATAGTTAGATCGTTAAAAATATTGTGCATGAAAAGATATATTAAAATTGTAAATTGTATTGTAAATACGGATAAAGTAGGAAATCAATTTCAAGTAAAAAAGTAAATAAGAAAGTAAATAATTAAAGTCGAGAAACTTGATTTGATTTGATTAAGTCACGGAAGTAATAAAATAACTAGAGTGAAGACAAAATGCTATTTTCAATAAGAAAGTTATATTTGAATGGAAAGTAAGAACGCACATTTAATTAACACTGCGATATCGTATTATAAATATTATTAATTATTGTATATAAATATACAATATATCTTGTAAATATAAAATAAATTAAATTAGGAAATAAAATTTGAAATATTTTATCACATTTTCATTATTCAAGATAATATGTATAATTGCATGTATAATATATATATATAAGTTCTGCTAATATAATTATAAAAAAATAGTAATACTCTGATTTTCAAAATTGATAGAAAATTATATATTTTCTAATTATATCCTAGTACTTTATAAACTTTCAAGAATCTCGAATTGAAAATTCTTATTCTTTCTCGGAATATATTTTAAATAAAATAAAAATATACAAATTACAAAGCGTAAAAATATATAAATTTACAAGAAAATTACAAGAAAATCAGAGATGAGAGAAGAGAGAATTTATACAACAAACTTTTCTATTTTCCTGATTATTTCGACATTTCATTTTGACGATTTAAAATTCTTTCGAAATTCTCTCCGAGAATTTTTGGAATTCTCGGAAATGCACGGGAAGCTGTAAAATACAACTCTTCTTTAAATCGCATTTATGGAAATGGGTCATTCCGTCTGTTTCGGGTGTTGCTCCGCGAAGCAGCGCAACGTTCGCGGCAGTCGCCAACAAGCGAGACGTCGGATTAACGGATCACTCTCTTTCCTTCTTGTTCCCTATCTCCTCCTATCGCATTTCCGTTCGACCCTTTGCTACCTTGGCGTGTCGCATCGTTCGTTCTGTCAAACTTGGAGTAAAAAAAAGGATTGAAGGCCTGTGCGTGCGCGAGAGCTTTGGGTGAAAGTATCGCGCGGGGTGGGGCCGTTTTTTTCGCGAATCTCGTTGGTGTCGGCCGCCGAGGAAGATGAATTGATCGGCTCGCGTCTAGTCGAGCGATATTCGTGGATTCGTAATTGACAGCAATCCAGCCACCGATTCTCGTTCACGCGTTCGATCAGTGTCCAAGACAGCCGCGGGAAGAGACAGCCATGGAGGACGATCTGCCAACCGAGTACGATGTAGTTGTAGTAGGAACAGGTATTGATTTTTATCATGACGAGAGATGACGGTCGCGCGTCGCGTTTTACGAGCGAACGTACTTTTCGACCGGTAATTCCTCTCATTGTCATGACTTCCGACAGGTATGACCGAATCCATCGTCGCCGCAGCGGCAAGCAGGATCGGCAAGAGGGTTCTGCATCTAGATAGGTAATAACCGAGTGGTGCCCAGCCAGCGTGTACCTTTTTTTATCCCTCTACACCAATGAACCGAATCACCTGTCTGTCACATCCGTTTCTATCGATGTGAATTAGCTTCAATCATCTCGATTTTTAACTTTTAATCTTTTTTTAGCACGTAATTTTAAGAATTGAGAAAGATAAAGGGTAAATTAAGTCAAGATTAAAATTCATTCTACATTGATAGAAATAGACATTATATAAAATTAAAAAAAGATAAAAAGTAAGATAAATCGAGATTGAAATTAGTCTACAGAATGACAAGTATATTCTAAATATATATAAAGAAATTTCAGGATATTTAGAATAAATATAACTTAAAATTAATGTCTTCTGTACCAAAATATATTCATTATCTTGTAAATTAGCAGAAATAGATATCAAATATATATTCTTGAAATATATTAAATATATTTCTTGAAATATGTTTGACATACAGGATTATAAAAGCAATTATATAGTTAATATTTTATTTTAAAGAAAATGGAATTTATTATGTTGATAAATTGTTTATAAGTAATATATTATATTTATAAGTAATTATGTACATATGTGATTAATTATTAAATTTCTTTTAAAAGTGTTAGAATTATATAAAAAAAATTTTGCTTTATTATTTGAGAACAAATAAGAGAATAAGGCAATATCTTGATTACATTTTATCAACATGATTTTGTTAGAGATAAAAAGATTTGCATGTTTCCTGAAATGATATGATAAATTAATCATGCTCGGAATAATATTTATTACATGAAATGAATATTTATTAAATAAATGATTTTAACTTTTTTTATTTCTTAGCAACGAATATTATGGTGGTCTGTGGGCTACATTTAATTTCGATGGTTTGCAAAAATGGATAGAAGATTTAAAAACAGTTAAGAGTAATACTAGAAATACAAATGTTGATTTGAAGGAGGATGAAAAATTTTTGAAAGCTAGTGATCAATATTCTACAGTTGAAAACATTGGAGAAATCTGGTATATTTTCAAGTAAGAAAGAAAACTGCATAAATTAACTGTTTAGTAATTTCGTAATTATTATCTCATATATTCTGACACATATATATATATATTTTTCTTATACAGTGATGCGGACTTACCTGATATGTCCTCGAAAGATACTCAGACCGAAAGTTCTGGAGATAGCGCTGCAATCGAAGGTGCGGAAAAGACTGATCAGGACAAGGCTGACAAAAAGGAGAATGTAAAACAATGGAGCATAGATCGTATCAAGAAGGAATATAGAAGATTTAATATTGACCTGGCGCCTAAAGTGAGGCTGCAGATATATTCGTAGATACACATATCAGATGCTCTAATTATGTATATGTACGTGATATATGATTTTTAATTGCAGCTGTTGTTCGCCCGTGGTGAATTAGTAGAACTGCTGATTTCCAGCAACATCGCGCGTTATGCCGAATTCCGTGCAGTCTCTAGAGTCGCTACTTATATGGATGGTAAACTTACCCAGGTTCCATGCTCTCGAGCCGATGTGTTTGCTAATAAAACTGTCAGTGTGGTCGAGAAGAGAATGCTGATGCAGCTTCTGACATCTTGTATGGAACAAGGTGCCGATAGTCCAGAGTTCGATGGTGCGTATTATTTAACTTAAACGTGTTACATAAGTATTTTTTTAATTATTTAATTTTTGATAACTTAATAAAAATGCATTGCATTTCTTTTTTAGGTTTCCGTGATAAAACGTTCTTAGAATATCTTAATACGAAAAACCTTACGCCTATAGTACAGCATTATGTTATGCAGGCGATTGCAATGGCGACGGATAAGACATCATGTAGAGACGGTGTTAATCGTACGAAACATTTTCTTAATAGTCTTGGACGTTACGGAAATACGCCCTTCTTATGGCCTATGTATGGAAGCGGAGAACTGCCTCAATGTTTCTGCAGGTACGTCAAGATATTTTCTCTGTATTCTATAGACTACTATCTAAAAATAATATTTTTTATATGTTTAGATTATGTGCAGTTTTTGGTGGAATCTATTGCTTAAAGAGACAATTAGACGGTGTAGTAGTTAACGAAGATAAATGCAAGGCGATTATCAGTGGAAGACAAAGATTAGCTTTGGAACATTTAGTCGTAGGACAAGGGCACTTGCCACCAGAAATCGTAGCCTCTGAAGGAGAAAATCAAATTTCACGTGGAATTTTCATTACTGATAGGTAATGTTCACATCTTATTTTTTATAATTGAAAATGTGTGTGTGTGTGTGTGTGTGTGTGCGCGCGCGCGCGCGCGTGCGTGCGTGCGTGCGTGCGTGCGTGCGTGCGTGCGTGCGTGCGTGCGTGCGTGCGTGCGTGCGTGCGTGCGTGC